CTCAAAACAACTAGTGACCTCATTAAGAAACACTCCGAAAAATTTAATCTGGGCGTAAAATCGCTAATACCAGTGCCAAACCACCGAAGTTGTATGGGTTACTAAAATACAAAATCCTAATGCTCTACTACGTTCCATAGTAAGAAAATACTCTCACCGCTCAGGGGACAAACAAGAGCACACACAAAGGATTCCTATCATTTTGTCAGGGAGGGCAGTTAAAGACCTACATCTGGCAGACAATGACACTATGGTCAGTTTTGATGTGCAGTCACTGCTCACATGCTTACCTGTTGAAGATTGCATCTCAATTGTAACTAGAAGGCTGGAAGCAAAACAACATGCCCGTAAAATATGAAGTATTACTCAGACACTGCCTTACATCTGGCTACGTATTGTGTAAGAAGGAGTGCTACAAGTAGGTAGATGGTGTGGCAATGGGCTCACCTGTATCTCCCATTGTCGCCGACATATTCATGGACTTTGAAGAGACTTCGAGGAGACTTTAATGAGACTTTCAGGAGAAAACCTTGCTTACTTCTCCTGTAAACCCAAGATTCTACAAGCGGTACGTAGATCATACTTTCAAAATTCTACCTTTAGATAAAGTAACTGCATTTTTAGATGATCTTAACTCCATAAATTCTAAAATTCAGTTCACAATAGAATTAGAGGCAAACAATTGTTTTGCTTTTCTAGATGTGGTAGTAATTCGGAATCTTGATAACACCTTGAGCCATACTGTGTGTAGAAAAAAGACCCATACAGATAGATATTTAAACAGTGATTCTCACCACCATCTTTCACAGTTAGCTACCGTGGGTAAATCTTTGTTTCAGAGAGCACGAGGGATCTGTTAGAGTAAGCACCTGGCCACCGAGCTCCAATACGTCAAGCAAGTTTTGCGTGATAACAAGCTTCGTATCCCGCGCCTACGTCACAGTGAACGAATTAAGCCGGTCACAGTCGAACGTGTGCCTGCTGTACTGCCATATGTCAGAGGTGTCACTGACAACATTGGCTACATCTCGAAGCGCACTTCCATTAAAATATAGTGTAAAGTCCCTCAAGGATAATGTCATAAGATTAGTGTACAAGCTTCATTGTGAATATGGTCTCTCCTACATAGGACAAACAAACATATCAATAAAAACTTGCCTTAAAGAACACATAGCTTTTTTTTTGTACATGGGGAAATGCCTACGCATACCCGCCTCGCGGGGGGCAAGGACGGGTTATGTCGGACTCGCACCGACTAAAACCCCATGGTGTTCCACCTTTGTCGCTATTGGCAGGGCCACGGGAACGCTTTCGCACACATCCGCAGCCCCACCAGCGCCTGCCGCCCCATGGCAGCACCAGGAAAAACAAGCACTTAGAAGTACTAGCCTTCCCGACCCCAGCGGCGGATCTGGTCTATGGCTCCGCCGCCAACCAAGATTCGGCTGCGGAGGGTAGGGAGAGCGGCGCGTCGCAATACCGACAATCCTCTCCCCCCGCAGCCTCACCACCACCGCATCAACGGTGCGGCTCCGTTTGAGTCGCGGAGGATAGGGCGAGTGGCGCATCGCCATACCAACACTCCTCTTCCTCCGCGACTCCACCTCGGCTGCAGCGGTAGGTGGGGAGGACACACCTCTCACCGCAGTCCACCAACATACATCCGAAGTGGGCTCCCCAAGCCCACTCGGAGTGGCCACCTCGGGCCGGCCCTCCACCTTGGACCAGCCATATGGGTTCCTCTTTGTTTCGCCGTGGGTGACCAAGCCACGGCTTCTAAGCCCCCCCCGCCACGACAAGGCGGGAACCCGTTCGGGGGGGAAAGAACACATAGCTGATGTGAAGAATCGACGCTCCGGGAAGTCTGCAGTCTGTGAACGCGTACAGGATCGTTCCCGCCACTACATCAGATTTGATAGACCACAAATCCTCGCTAGAGAACACCGATTCCTTCCAAGGATGATTAGCGAGGCAATTGAAATCAAAAACTTCCTAATTTCAATAGAGAAGATCGCTGTGTGCTACCATCTGCTTGGGATCCTATAATTAATAAAATTGAATCCCAACCCAAGAACATAACTGCAAGACTTCAAGATACTATAAGTTCGTAATGCGTAGATCGGAACAAAAATTAATAATTTTAATCTGGAGGTAGACGTGTCTAACTATGACATTGGGACGTCGAGTGACCATGGGTGCTGTAAAGTGATTGAAACGTCGGGAATATAAAATAAGTTAATATACGCGATAAAATTCGTAAAAACCAGTTTTATTTACTGCCTTGATTACCTATAATACCTATAATACATATGCTTTGATGGAACAGTAAGAATATTCGAAAGATAATAGTTTTAAACTCTTAAGTCTTGCGTCATCCAGAGTTACGGTTATCGAGAGCAAGTCTCCGGATGGTTAAATTATTACTGTAATGCAATCTAAGGAAATTAAATCGATTACGCTCTTTTCGATGACTGACATAAAGGCGATATATACTATGTAGTGATTCTTGAGTGGCAGCTTCATACCGGTAGGCGAAGTATAAGGTGCCCCCCCACTAGAGGGAGTGATGACCTGGTAAGACATGGAGAAAGTCGATGGACGCAGGTGACTCAGGACCGTGCTTTATGGCACTGCTTAGAGGAGGCCTATGTTCAGCAGTAACTTGTGAAGGGCTGTAATAATGGTAGTAATGATGATAGTATGTTACCTTTCAAGGGTATCGACTGTGATAGCGGTCACTACCTTTTAGGTCTATAGATAGATCCAAATAAAATTAAACACAATAAAAACGAAACGCCAATACAATTTAAATAATGTATTTAACCAAAAGTTTGTCTGGATAAGAACTTTGCTTAGCGATACCTATGTATACACTTTGTATTTAGTTCTTTTATCACTGTTTATATATTTTAATATGTGCAATAAAGTGTATTGTCCCCCCCCCCTCCCCCCCCCCCCCCACTAGAGATAGATTTCGGAGTATCGATCTGGTAAGAAATGCAGGAAATCGATCGATGCAGGTGGCCCAGGATCGTGCTTTTGTAGCATTCTTTTAGGGAGGGAGGCCTATATTCAGTAATGATGGTGATGATAAATAAGAAGCATGAATAAAATAAATGTTATACATAAAAGTTTAAGGTATAAAGCTACAGGTTTAATGATTTGGCATTAGATGATAATATACATAGAAATTGGGTAGTAAAATGACGTCGCGTTAAAAATACTTAACCTAAAGAGAGAGAAAGTAGGTAATAGTGAATCCAGGACTGCAAGGACAAAGTAGAATAAAGAAGGAAATACAGAAATCCATGTCACTAGGACGAGCAGAGGGGCGGGAGGGGGGGATACAAGAAAGTGAGAATGGGAGACTGATTAAAATATTGAAGTAATATTTGTAGTCTTTGAGTAATATGTTTTACGTACGTAAGCACATTATAATTTAATGTAATAAAAAAAGAAAATAACAGCACTTAGATAATATTGTACGGGAAATAGAAACGAACGTAACATTTTTTTTTTAATTTCGTGCTATAAAACTTAATGTACCACGTTTATCTCAGATTCTGAGCTATTTCAAAATTTCAAATCTCTAGCTCATCGGGAAGTTGCAAGATTCCACCCGGAACAACAAACAGACAGACGAACAAGAAAGTGATTTAATAAAAAAAATGGTGGCGTGGCCTAGATATTCCTCTTTTTCCCGTATTTTTGTGAGGTTTTAAGAGCTAGCTATTTGTTATTAAAATGATATATCAACTAATAAAAAATCTATTAAGTTTTTACATTATCTTGATTCCATAATGGCAAATTCCATTTTTTAAAGGAATAAATACTTGATGAATCCTCCTACAACTAAACCACAGAAATGCGAAATAATAATTGATAACAAGCGTCTCCTCATAAAGTAAGCATTATTTTATTTTGCGATTGACACTAATGGATAGGCAATTTATAAATGAACATTTTGGTCTATTTTATTTTTTTAAAGGAATAAAATTCGATTTTATAAAGAAAATATTTTGAAATTTGGGCGTATTTCTTATGCGATGTATTGTTACGAGAGCGTGTGGATTGTATTGGACCGAACGCTCAAGGTCGTTCGCTAGGAGTAGCACCTTAAACAACTTATGGAGCAAGCCTAATGGTTACAAAAGTAATAAGAAAAACGAAACTAACGACAACCAAAATGTTAGTAGCAAGGCGACAGAGCGTGCCTAATAAATAGATATACGTACATACATACACACATATACAAATACGAACATACATAATACATACATACCATAAATACATTCGATAAACATTACCCAACTTCAGGTAATCGGGTGAAAAGGTAAAAGGTAATACGCCTCAATCACACATAATATATTTTTATAGACTTTACGGCTTAGGACTGATCATTTTTTTTCGTATCTCTTTTTTGCAACATGGCACGCAACGAAACAGGTTTTGCTTGTGCTGTTAAAATTAGTTTTGATTATACTAAAACCAAACATAAGACTCGACAAAAAAGGAAAGCACGAAAATGCTGAACACAAAGCTCACAGACTCTCATTTCTGCTGTAGTAGTCTTACTACTACTACTACTACTCGTAGAGCGCGGATATCACCAACCCACCAACTAGCGTGATGATTATGGACAAATCTTTCTGGAAAAGCATAACTTAGGGCATTTTTATAGGATAAGGGTATCAAATGAGCACATTCACTACATAGGCCACCTAATGGTAAGGCGTTATTATTGTCTAAAGACTGTGGACATCTATCCTTGATTACGAATTAAAATGCATATCCGTTGTCACCCGTGAGGGCTAAGATGGAATCCCTCGTTTCCAGTAAAAAGGTTCTCCGGTTCTCTACACTCACTATGGAAAACACAGAAGCATTGAGCTGCTATTTTACGCTGGTACTCTGTTCATTTTTCGAAAAGGTCTAAGGCCAGTAGCGGTTTCAAATTGCTGATAAGGGACTAAGTGAACTCTACAATAAAGTAAAGGTACCTTAGCGACTTTCTCGTCAAGCAGCCACTGCAGAACAGTGTTGGACGTGTTGGCCAACGCGGCAAGGGCTGCGCGCTCCCACGTGACGTGCTCCCAATGGTCAGTCATGATGGCCGCGCAGAGCATCGCCGTCGAACAACTGTTGGACAAAGAAATATGAATGTAATGCCCATGATCAAATGATTTTATTATAAACGTTTAATGAACGGCAATTACTGATAAACTTTACATTTTTTTTATAGAATAGGGTGACAAACGAGCACACAGTCCACCTGATGGTAAATGGTTGCTGCGGCCCATAGACATCTACATCTATCCTCCATTAAAAATCAAAATGCAGATGCGTTGTCACCCGTGAGGACTGAGATGGAATGCCTCGTTTCCAGTAAAAAGGGTCTCCGGTTCTCTACACTCACCGTACGAAATACAGCAGCATTAAGCTACTATTTCACGCTGGTATTCTGTGAGAGCGTGGTCCTTCCCCGGTCGAGCCGACCCATTCGTGCTACAACTATACTACAGCATGGCTCTACCACGTAAAATATTTTATAAAAGTTAAAAAACTGATGAAACTACAGTCCATCTTAGTAAGTGGTTACTACAGCCCACGGATGCCCGCAAACAACTTCAAGCAAAGAACAGGTTACAGGTACGTTCTTCTTCTTCTTCTAAGGTTAAGGTAAGGCTTGAACTTCTAAGGTCTCAGGCAGAATGACTAGACTGTAATTATACCGGCTCTCCGTATCCTTCAGGTCGGAACACGGTAATGTACGTACTGAAGTTTGGCGCAGAAATAGGCAAGAGGGTTGTACCTACCCAGACAAATTTCTCATCAGAAGGTGTCCTACCGCTTAAATATACTTTTTTTAATTTTTATTCGTAAAAATTTAAAAAAAAAAAACAAAATTAATATTACTATTACTAGATTATATAATTAAGATCGGACCAAAAATTAATATGTATTCAAAAATTGAAGGAAAAACTGAAGTAGTCGGGATAGCTATGACATCGAGACGTCAATTACCTCAGTAACTGTGTGTTGTGGAATTAAAAAGTTAAAATTATATATGATAAAATTTGTAAAATTAGTTTCATTCGATGATTCATCACAAGAAGTAGTATGTGGCTACTGCAGTCTATGAATATCTGCCACTAACTACGAACAAAGATCTCAGATGTTATCATTAACATCCCTGATTACAGAGATGAAAGATCTCATTGACTGAAATAATACTGGCAAAAATACAGTAGAGGATGCAACTGCTTAGCAGCCCTAACTATTAATAATAATTATAATTCAAAATGACGACTATTTTGTTAACCACTTTTCCAGTTCTGCGAGTTCAGAAGTTAGGTTAAAAAAATGCAAAATTTATACCGAACAGACAAATCGAGAAAAAAAAAGTTCATAAAAATGAAGTACATTGGTGCCTCACAGTATCCTAAGCATAAGATAAGCTCTATTATCTAGACTGACTGCTTATTTTATATTATGTTTATTCAGATGCATTTTGATTGCCGCAACCCAATGTCTTTATTTTTATATACAATTTTGTTATGTCCGTGTGTATGTGACTGAACTCCTCCTAAACGGCAGAACAGCTTTTGATCGAATTTTGTGTTTAGATTTTGTGTTTTGTGTTTAGATTCATAATTATATATATATATATATATATATATATATATATATATATATATATATATATATATATATATATATATATATATATATAGTCATAATTAGACCCGGTAAGTGGCGCTGTTGTCGAAATCCAAAAATCACACGTACGAAGCCGGGCGGATCGCAAGTACACATACTTATTATTTCCTAATTTCCAGTGTACATTTTGCTATAGTAAAGAATAAATGAAAAGATAAATAGACGTTGTAGAGCCACGCTACAGGTTGTAGCATGAATAGGTCGGCTCGACCGGGGTAGGACCACGTTCTCATAGAAAATCAGCGTAAAATAGCAGAAAGAAAGAAAAAAATAGTTTAAGCAGCTTAATATTGCTATGTTTTTTATGGTAAGCTTGGAGAACCGGCAACCATTTTTACTGGAAAAGAGGCATTCCATCTACAGGTTGACGATGAATTTTGCATTTTGATTCTAATTCGAGGATGTATATGTCTATAGGCCACAGCATCCACTTACCATCAGGTGGACTGTGTGCTCGTTGGTCACCTTTATTCTATAAAAAATTGTTCATTTATTAATTAGCATTTCAATTTAAACATATCCAAAACAATATATCCATTTCAATATCCAGAAGACACAAGTTTGCGCTTTTACTGTTAAAAAGAACCCCTTTGTCGTATCTCCTTAGTTTCAAGGCACGTCTCAGCCAGTATCGGAATCCCCGGCGTCAACATATCGAATGATGTGCACTTTCGTGGTCACTTGGAAGAGAAGGCGAAATCGGCCTCTAAAAATCTTGGCGTGCTCAGCAGAGCGGGACAGTATTTCATGCCGGTACACCCCCTGCTACTTTATCTGTATAATACTATTCCCATCTCTGGGCCGCAGCTCCCCAATGCCAGCCCCTTGCACTTGACAGCATCCAGTGCATAGCATCTCGAACCGTCAAAGACCGAGTTCTCTCAGATCAGCTCGATTCACTGGCGCTGCGAAGAGATGTTGTATCCCTTTGCATTTTCTATCGCATCTACCACGGGGAGTGCACTAAAGAATTGTTCGGATTAATTCCAGCCGCCGAATATCATGACCGTACATCGCGACAAAACTCACGATACCATCCACACCATCTAGATACTTGGCAATCCACCACCGTACGATTTACGATTTAGGAGTAGGATTTTATCGCGTAAAATCGATAATAGAGAAGATGGCTGGTTTCTATCATCTGCTTGGGATCCTATAATTAATAAAATTAAATCCCAACCCAAGCATACAACTGCAAGTTTTCAAGATACTATAGTTCATACTGCGTAGATCGGAACAAAAATTAATAATTTGAATCTGTGGGTAACCGCGGTTAACTATGACATCGGGACGTCGAACACCACAGTCCTTCCCGAGACAATGGATATTGTACAATGCTCGAAGTTAATATACGCGATAGAATCTGTAGAAACTAGTTTTATTTAAATAAGAGCCGTGGTAGCTCAGATGGTTAACGCTCGCTGTAAATATAACAGAACGCGAGTAACCCGGGTTCGAGCCCCGCCGGCACCAATGAAATTGTTACTTGCAATTTTAAGTGCTGATTTACCACGTGCTCGGCGGTGAAGGAAAACATCGTGAGGAAACCTGCATGTCTGAGGAATAAGAAAAAAAATATTTCGAAGACATGTGAAGTTCGCCAACACGCATTGGGGCAGCGCGGCGGACACTTCCTTGCCCTAAAACCCCCCTCAGAAATGAGGGGGAGGCCTGTGCCCAGCAGTGGGACGTATATAGGCTGTAACTTTAGGAGTTTTCGTCCTCGTACGACCCTCTTTAGAAATTTTACCGGCGATTTTTCCTGACCGATACGACTTACAGCCGGCAAAGCACCTGCAATTCCCTTGGTGTTGCAGTTGTTTATGGGACGTGGTAGTCTAGTTTTCTCCCTCTTCTATATAAGAAAACATTAACCTGTATTTTATGGAAATTAAAGCTTAGATGAGTCCTCTGAAATTTCTATAAGTGTTATTTTTGGCTGTTGTTTCTCTTTTGCGTGGTTTCCCTTTGCGTCTCGTAAAAGTACTCTTCAGACTTTGAGTTTCTTTGACATTGTGAAAAAGACAGGCGTGAGATTCCGCAACGCTTAACCCACTTCATTTGTAAGTGTATTTATTTTTAAACAGAGTTACAGCTCTACAGCTATTGACCTCAGCTCTTCTAAGATTACTTAAATCATTCAAATGATTTGTACATATCGATACAACAGTCCATTTAAAAAAAGTGGTATTTATAAAAAAAACAGCAGTACGCAGTTTCTTATAAAAAGCAATCAATAGGCATTTCGGAGATAAAATGCAATTAAATAATACATTTTCATTTCACGACTGCCTAGAAGGCCTATACGGCTAGACTTAATTTTTAACCTACAGGTTACAGGTACGATACAGGAGGATAATGTGACCACCTAGACAATGTTTAAGATCGTTTAAATAACGATTCAGTTTTGGAACCAGAAAGGTGCAATTTGTTTTCCAACAACTTTCTTTTTTTAGAAAAAAAGGCATACGAATCTATCTTTTCGTAATGCGGTTATTTCCGAGTCTCTTCCTTTCATAAATTCGAAGGAAGCCTTTGAAATTATCGCTTACGATAAAAAATAAGAGAATAAGAGAGATATATTTAATATTAATATACCTACATATTGTAGAGAGCGGCAAGATACCGCTGGCTCTCATTTTCTATAGAGAACAGGGCTTGCAAAACATAATATCTGACATACGCTTTGTGTAGAAAGAAGATTGGTATACATAGCTGTACGTGACGTATTATTATTTTTATTCTGTGACGTGACTTGAAACGCAAGAGTACGTTCGCCCTTACATAGGTATTTATTTCTCAATACTTTCACAGATCACATCTTTTATATATGTGTATGTGTAATGGGTCTTTTGGAAACGGCACTATACTAGATGTCAATGAAATTTTGTATGTAGGTTAGACAATGTTTTACCGTTCATGTTTCTCTAGACATCTAATATACAAAAAGCGGTCTAGGTGCGACCCGAAAGGTCCACACGACTAACTTCCCAGTGGAAAGAATAAATGTAAATGTTTAATATTTTATACAATTTTTCATTCGGCACAAAAAACGACTTGACCGATTTTGCTCAAAATTTAATGAGGTCTAAGTTACAGTAACACAGTAATATAATTATGCGTTAAATTAAACTGGTCCCATGTCAGTATCACTCTTTGTTCTCGAGATACACGAGTCGAAAATTAAATCTGAACATACATACGAGTACATACGTACATGTGCGCACACGGATATCCGCTTAAAACCCATACTATTCGACTCTAAAGATCTTGAAACGTGGATATGTTATATGTATTTCTAATTTGCAAAACCGGACCCATTACAATAACTTCCCACTGGGAAGTTAAAAATTAATGTTTGCTTGTATGTATTTTACGGCGCCTCTACACGTTGGCCAACACAGTGCCGAATGTAG